CAGGGAAAAGGCAGCCCCTCTGACCGTGCACACACACGCATGCACACACACGCTCACACTAACACACGTGTGCACAGCACACACATGCCCACAAGGCATACATGCATGCACGTAACACGTACATATCATGCACAGCATACACATGGGCATACATGCACACACATATGCATAGCTGTACACATACATGCACTCATGGACTCACACATGTACACACTCTCATAGACTCACGCTCATACTCACACACTTATACACACACACACATGCACAATGACATATACACACTCAGAGCCACAAATGCATTGACACACACTGACATACACTTGCTCCCACCTTCTCACGCAGGCTCCAGTTCCCTGTTCAACTCCTCCAACCTTTCACACATGCACTCACAGACTCCAGGGCCCTGTGCAGTGCCTCCTCCCTCAAGATGAACTGACAGCTCAGATCTCCCGCTGAGGCGTCTGCAGAGCAGTGATGCAGGACAGAACCCCCGAGGGAGACACTGGAGCCAGCAAGTCTCAGCAGAGGGGCTCTGAAGCAGAGCCATGCCCAAAGGCCAGTCTGGGCTCATGGCATTGACCTTGCATGCAGTTGGCGCTGGTTCAAGGCCTGGAACCCTGTATGGTCCCCGGAGCCCTGCCAGGAGTGAACCCTGAGCACCATGGCTCCAAAACCAAAGGGGGAAAAATAAAATAAAATGAAGTTACTTGTCTTGTTGGTGAAAACTCACAGTAATTTTTTTTGGGGGGGCGGGGGCTGGAGAGATAGCACAACAGGTAGAGTGTTTGCCTTGCATGTGGCCGACCCAGGTTCAATTCCCAGCATCCCATATGGTCCCCCAAGCACCGCCAGGAGTAAATTCCTGAGTGCATGAGCCAGGAGTAACCCCTGAGCATCGCCAGGTATGATCCAAAAAGCATTAAAAAAATTGTTTTTTTTTTTTTAAAAAGAGATGGTCATGGCCAGAGTGATAGGACAGTGGGGGAAGGCATTTATTTCATGGTCAACCTGGGTTCGATCCCCGGCATCCCATATGGTCTCCCAAAGCACTGCCAGGAGTAATCTCTAAGCAATGGGTCTCCCCCTTAAAAAAAAAAAAAAAAGGTCAACTTTATGTGTGCGATTTTTTTTTAAAAGACTAATCAGGGAATGAGAACAAGGAAACTGTCGCCAACTCTAGAATGAAGCAGGTCCCGCTCTGTCCTCTGCAGGGAGAGCTCTTGGCCTGGGGTCCCCACAGAGAGAATCCCTTCCTTCGCCCAGATGCCCAGTTTCCTTCCTTCCTAGCCCTTCCCCACCAGGCCCCAGCTCCATCCTGTCCGCCCGTGACAGGGTAGACACTGATCAGACCTCAGGAGGGACACGGGTCATCCCAGGGCTGTGAGCAGGAGAGGAGAGGCGAGACGAGGAGACCCACCGCTGCCTCTTAGAGAGCTGCGGGAAACCAGGAAAGGGCCCCAAAGCCGTGCTGGGAAATCTCCCCCAGAACCCAAGAGCGTGGGTGAGAGAAAGGTGAGAAGGGGCCCGGAGCCATAGCACAGCGGGGGAGGGTTTGCATTGTACGTGGCCGACCCAGATTCGATCCCTGGCATTCCCCTATGGTCCCCCGAGCACCACCAGGAGTAATTCCTGAGCACAGAGCCAGGAGTAACCCCTGAACATCGCCGGGAGTGACCCAAGAAGCAAAAAAAAAAAAAAAAAAAAAAGGAGGAGCTGGAGAGATAGCACAGCAAGTAGGGCATTTGCCTTGAACGAGGCCGACCCGGGTTCGATTCCCAGCATCCCATATGGTCCCCTGAGCACCGCCAGGAGTAACTTCTAAATGCAGAGCCAGGAGTAACCCCTGTGCATCGCCAGGTGTGACCCCCCCCCAAAAAAAAGGAGGAAAAAAAGGAAGGTGAGGAGAAGGAATCACTTTGCAGTTAAGCCCGAAGGAGCTTTCTGTGGAAACTCCCAGGGTCTGGAGTGGGGGGCAGAGGTTGTAGCCTCAGGAGAGGAATCAAGGGCACAGGCGTGTTGTGGGGAGCCAGGGGCCACATTCATCTGCTGCTTCTGTTTGTTTGGGGGCTCCACCCCACAGTGCTCAGGGAGCACTCCCGGCAGGGCTTGGGGGCCCTCTAGGGAAGCACCCTGCCCGCTGTTCTGTCTCTCCGAACCCTGCTGGTGCTTTTGAAAGCCACATGTCAGGGATTTGTTGGCATCAGGGCACTGTGTGGAAATGACACGAAACCAACTGGAAAATGGGCCCAACGCTACCCCAGCGGGGACACGCGTGTACCTCGGGCACCACAGTAACCAGGCCTGCTCTGACCAGGGGCCACACTGAGGGCGGGCTATGCATGCAGAGGACATGGTGCCCTTTGGCGGGGAGGGGCATCGCTGGAATACTGCTGTGATCCCAGACCTTCCAGAACTTTCTCTTAGCCACACTATTGCCCTTGGCCCCAGGCCCATGGAGACCATGACCCAAGGCTTCTTGCTTTGCAATCACTTTTTTGGGGGGAAGGGGGCACAGCCAGCAATGCTCAGGGGTTACTCCTGGCTCTGCATGCAGGGATCACTCCTGGCAGTGCTCAGGGACCACCTGGGAGGCTGGGGGGTCGGACCCAGGTCAGCTTCGGGCAAGGCAAAATGCCCTCCCCACTGTACTAGGCTCTCCAGCCTCTCTTGAACAATCCAAGGCCTGGGGTCTGCGCGTTTGTCTCTGCCCCATTCACAGGGTGACACCCCACGTCCTACAGTGGGCATCAGGGGAGCTTCAGGTGGATCAGGGTGCAAAAGCAGGGTCTAGGCGGAGTGGGGGACTGATCAAAGAGTTTCCCCCTCCCCAGCTCTGTGACAGGAGGGCTGAGGACAGCAACAAGAACCAGGAGGGAGGGGCTGGAGCAATAGCACATTGGGTAGGGCGTTTGCCTTGCACGCAGCCGACCCAGGTTCGATTCCCAGCATCCCCTATGGTCCCCCGAGCACCACCAGGAGTAATTCCTGAGTGCAGAAACCCCTGTGCATTGCCGGGTGTGACCTCCCCCCCCCCAAAAAAAAGACCCAGGAGGAACCCTCCTGGGACAAGGAATTAGCCACGCCCTGAGATTAGTCTGCAACTCCCAGAGTGTGAGGGCTAGCCTGCTGTGTGTGCTATACACAGAAAATTCTCATCAATTAGGGAATGAGAAAGACCATCAGTGCCGAAGTTGAAGGTGCTCACAGAGGAACAGGTATTTCAGTAGCACTGTAGCACTGTCCTCCCGTTGTTCATCGATTTGCTCAAGTGGACACCAGTAACATCTCACAACAAATTGTGAGATTATATGTTGTTACTGTGTTTGGCATATCGAATATGTCATGGGGAGCTTGCCAGGCTTTGCCATGCGAGCGAGATACTCTCGGTAGCTTGCCGGGCTCTCCGAGATGGGGCGGAGGAATTGAACTCGGGTCAGCCACAGTGAAAAATTAAAAGTAGTAGTTATTGGGCTGGAGAGAGAAAATGAAAAACAGCCATCGGGCAGAGAGGTAGTGCGGGGTAGGGCACTTACCCTGCCCAAGTGCGCTGGACCCGGCGTGGTCCTCGGGCACTGAGCCAGGGAGAGCTGAGAGCGCCGAGTACGGCCCAAGACCCCCTGCAAATAAACCAGAACAACCTGAAAGGCCAACATTTAATCTTGTGAAATAACTTCCTCCTCTCTTTCTACGGAGTCTGGTAACAGCTTTGAAGCCGGACAGAAACACACCTGCAGTGAGCGGCCAGGGAGCATTCTCAAGGTGGGTGGGGTGTGGCCTCATGGGGCAGAGGACAGGGGGGTCACCGTCCTTCTCATCGTGGTGGTGAATTCTAATGACCCAAGTCACTCCCCGGTTCACGCCGACGTCAGGTCACACCTGGACTCCCACTTGGCTGAGATTTCCTTAGTGGGAAAGGAAAAGGCGCCGTGTGGGATCACCCCCACTTCCTGGCTGGGGAGGACTCAGGAGGACTCACTCCCCGGGGGTCTCGGCCTCGGGTTCCCACTCCTATGACGTTCCCGCCCTTTCATTTCTGAGTATGTGGCAGATCGACGGGAAAGTCAAACGGTGCAGAGTCCGACGAGGCCCCTGCACTCCAGGGGCAGAATGAGCCAGGTCTCTGTGCCTGGTGGCCAACGGCCACCCCAGGACCCCGCGCAGGGCTCCTTCCAAAGGACAAGCCCCGCAGTCTCCCCCAGAAGCTGTTTTTGAAGACATGAAGTGCTTGGGGGGACCCACAAGGAGACTCCTCTGGGGGCCAGCCTCCCCGGGGCCTGGCCATCACCATGTGGCTTCCCAACAGAACTTGCCCTGCCGCCGTCTCAGACAGGCTGAGTGATTTTATGGCAAACGGATCCCAAGAGGCTAGCGTCAGGCTTCCTCCTGGACAGAGTGACCATGACAGCCCACTCCTCACCGGCTCCTGGCTGTGTGTGCCACGCCCCCCCCCCCCAATCCCGAGGCTGACCCCCTCCCCGGGGGTGGTGCCCCACGAATGCAGTGAGGGGAGCCCATCTGGGAAGGAGGGGCGGGCCCGGAGCAGATGTGGAACCTGCCGGGATCCTCAGACTTCTGGTCTCGGCCCTGTGACAAAGACCCTTCCGTGGCTTCGAATCCCTAATAAATGTTTTTATATTCGACAGAAAAGACGTGGGCTGGAGCGATAGCACAGTGGGTAGGGCGTTTGCCTTGCATGCTGCCAACCGGGGTTCGATTCCTCCGCCCCTCTCGGAGAGCCCGGCAAGCTCCCGAGAGTATCTCGCCCACACAGCAGAGCCTGGCAAGCTCTCTGTGGCGTATTCGACATGTCAAACACACTAACAACAAGTCTCACAATGGAGACATTACTGGTGCCCGCTCCAGCAAATCAATGAACAGATAAACGGGAGGACAGTGCTATTCAAGACTTGTATTTTAGGCCATCAAAGTGTTCTGTGGGACTTTCCTACCAGCCTGGTGGGCCGGGCGGAGCTGGGAACAGAAGACGCACACACAGCATCCCGTGTTGGCATTTTATTTCAAAAACCACAGCCCAGTGACCTCGCTGTCTTGTCCGCCACTTTTCTTCGTAGAGCAAGATACAAAAATCGGGGGGGTCGGAAAGCTGGGTCACTTCTGCAGGCCGGGCCGCCGCGGGTCAGGCACAGCTGGGCACATGACAAGGCCCAGGGCAGCAGGAGAGGCCGAGTGGACCGCGGGACCCAGCACGGCTGTGCTGACCTCCTTGCCCCAGGCCCCGAGTCCCCGCCTAAGCCCGGCCGGGAGGAGGAGGGGTGCGTGTGAGCCTGCGGGCGCCTCCCGGGGGACCCCTCTGGGTCGGGCCTTCATGGCGGCGAGTCTGGTCCCGCCGCCTCATTTCGAGTCCTGGTCCTGCTTCTCGTCCAGCAGGGCCGAGTGGATGCCCAGCTTCTTCAGTTCCTCCACCAGGTCCCCGTTCTGGTGCATCTGCAGGAGGATGTCGCAGCCCCCCACAAACTCGCCGTTGAGGAACACCTGGGGGATGGTGGGCCAGTTGGAATAGTCCTTGATGCCTGTGGGAGGGGGGAAAGAGAGAGAGAAGAGGGACGTCACGTCACAGGGAAGTCCCTGTGTATAGAGGGACTATATTCAACACCAGGGGTCGAATCCAGGTTGTTGTTTTTTTTTTCTGTGGCGGGGGGAGTAATACCCAGCAATGCACAGGTTCTGCACACAGGAATTATTCCTGGTGGATGCTGGGAACCGAACCCAGGTCGGCCATGTGCAAGGCAAACGTCCTACCTGCTGTACTATCGTTCCAGCCCCAAGGAGCGTCATGTCAGCAGGCAACACTGCTCCGCCCAGAGAAGCAGGGTTCCCACCCATGCTGGGGGCGGGGGGAGGGGGGCAGTGTGTGGGATGCAGAGAGAGCCAAGGAGACCCCGTTTAGGAAAGCCCCGCTGACCGCCCAGGGCGAGCACGCAGCCAGTCCCCCACACCTGCTAGCCCGGCCTCGGCTCCCAGGGCTGGACGAGAGCCGGGTGCTCGAGAAACGCTGCCGCCTCCAACTGGATCCACGAACACACTGGATTGGTCCACAGGAGGCCACAGCAGACACACTAATGAGCGAACGTCCCTCCAAACTCCCCAGTGTTTAGGGAAAGAGAACTTCAGGGTGCCTTTCCCATGGCCGCAGATGGCGGTTCAGGCTCTCAGGGGGTTCTGGGGACAGAGGGGCAGGGAACCCGGCGGGACACTGAACTCACGGAGTTGGGGCCATGGGGGAGAGAGGCCATTCCTGGCCGGAGCTTGGAGCAGTTGCGCCCCTGAGCACTGTTGAGGTGCTTGGCCGCGCAGAGATGGGGCGATCCTCTGGCAGGTACCGAGGGCAGCTCAGGGCACACAATGGGAAAGTGCTGTGGTCTCCCCTGCCCTACTTCCCCCTCTCCTCCCTCTGCATCCTTGGCCACTTTCCCATCTGCTGGGATAACGTGGCTTTGACACTGGGTGAATTTGGTCAATGAAATGTCATGGTTCTGTCAAAACCACGCTGTGCAATAATCACGACATCTTACAGTGGTTTGGTTTGTCTGAGTGCCATAGTCGGCAGTACTCAGGGCTTACTCCTAGTCCTGTGCTCAGGGCTTACTCCCAATTCTATGCTCAGGGCTTGCTCCCAATCCTGTGCTCAGAGACCACAGCACCAGGGGTCGAATATACAGCACCAGGGGTTGAATCCAGGTTGGTTTTTTATTTGGGGGGGGAGGGGAGGTAACACCCAGCAATGCACAGGGGTTACTCCTGGCTCTGCACTCAGAAACTACTCCTGGCAGATGCTGGGAACCAAACCCGGGTCGGCCATGTTCGAGGCAAATGCCCTACCCGCGGTACTATAGTTCCAGCCCCAAGGTTGGCGATGTTTAGGGCACAGTCCTCTCTCTCTCTCTCTGGCTATATTAGGTTTCATATTTTTTTGTTTTGGTTTTTGGGGTGACACCCGGTGGTGCTCAGGGCTTACTCCTATTTCTGTGCCCAGGGATCACTCCTGGTGGGCTCAAGGGACCATATGTGATACTGGGCATCAAACCAAGGTTAGTCATGTGCGAGGCAAATGCCCTACCTATACCGGACTATTGCTTTGGCCCTAAAAGGCAGATTTTTAAATGCCAAAAACACACCAAAAGTAACACTCCCCACCGCTCCCCCCAAAAAAATTAAGAAAAAAAATCACCCAGCACAGATTCTTCAAAGTCCAATATTATGCAAATGAACAAATCAATCAGGCAAAGAGAGCCTTCGAAATGTAAACAGACCCAAGGCAAAAACATGTGTTCCTGACACACTATCATTAATTTCCAGACGAAATTACCAAGCGGGCTTACGTCACCGATCCAGTCCCCAGACAGGCCGCGTCTGGCCCCACACGCCACCCCTGCATGCGGCGGTGGCCTCGCTCCCAACAGTGGTGCACTTATCTCTCTGCGCCAGACCTCCCCGGCACGGGTGTCAGCCGCATCTGTCACTCACCGTCAGCTGGGCAGGGGCGTGGCCCGAGGGACACAGCACCTGACCTAGATGAGGCTCGGGATTGACACAGTGAGTAGTGTACACGAAGGGTATCCCATCCCTGAACCCCCAGGTGGCTTCCTGGCGGCGCACAGCGGGTGCCAGTGCTAAAGGCACCAGCGCTGGGCGCCAACACAGCTGGGCCCTTGGGCCACCAGCCCCCGACTTCTGCTCCACGTTGTTCCAGAACACGAGTGATCCTTTGTCAGTGACAGTTGGCAGAAAATCTCTTTTTCACTTTTCTGCCGGGAATGAAGAAATCTTTTAAACATGAAAGTTCAACACCGGGTCGGAATGATAGCACCGCGGGAGAGGGAGCTTGCCTTGCACGTGGCTGACCTGGGTTCGATCCCCAGCATCCCATAGGGTCCGTCCTCCAAGCCCACCCAGGAGTAATTCCTGAGTGCAGAGCCCGGAGTAACTCCTGAGCATCGCTGGGTGTGACCCAAAAAGAAAAAAAAAAATCAAGGCTCTGAAACCTTCTTTTCCACGGACACACATGAACCACGTGTTTGCAGGATGCCTCTGACCCGGGCTCTGCCTTCCACGAATGGCACGAGTCCTGCCTTTCCACCACGGTCAGCTTCTGCTCCTTTCTTTGGGTCCGTGTCGACGATTTTTGAAACCGAGCCAAAAGAGAAATGAACTTGCTGCCTGAGCACGCACCCCCAGCCACACACTGGGCCCTGCTGAACAACGTTCCATCTCTGGAGCTGGGGAGATAGGACGGGCTTAGGGCCCACACCTCATGTGTGCCCGACCCAGGTTCAACCCCCAGGACCACTGGGTGCCGCTCTGGAGGTGCACAGCACCTCAGGGCCCTGTACTCAGGCTGAGCCCTGAACTGGCAGTCGGGTTAGCTGAGTGTCGCTAGGGAGTGACCCCAGGGCCCGTGAGCACTGGTTTGGAGTTGCTTCCAGTATCCACGCCACGTCACCGGCCTTGATGGTGGTGTCAGGGACTCAGTCATTCAGCGTGAATCTAAGGCACAGTCCTGGCTCCAGGAGGCAAGGGAGGACCACCAGAATCAATCCTTGCCCCTAAAAGACCACAGACCTGCAGCTGTCCAGCACCCTGCCCTGTGCGAGGAGGGAAGCCCATTCCTTCCAAGCCGCTAGCCGTGGCCATGTGGCCTGGTAGCACATTTCAGGAACCCCAAAACCCCCAGGACAGTGGAACCTGCCTCCAGTTGACACACTGTCTCTGCTGCAGCCGTGAGGTTCCACCTCCCAAGAGTCCTGTTGGCATGTCCTGGCATCTTCTTAGGGGCTGGAGAGACGCTACAGTGGGCAGGGTGCTTGCCTTACACATGGCTGACCAGGTTTGATCCCCAGCACCCCTTATAGTCCCCGGGCCCACCAGGAATGAACCCTGAATGTAGAACCAGAAGCAAACCCTGAGCACTGCTGGGTGTGACCCAAAAACAAACAAAAAAGTTGAAGGAAATGCGGTTTGCTGTAGGCTGGTTTGAAGAATAACACGCCCACAACTCATAAGTGGAAAATGAAAATAAATCCCACGGGCAGCTGGTGAGAAGCTCCTGAGGGTTGGAGAGCGCACAGGCCTTGCCAAATGTGGTGCTAAATTTGATCACCGACCATTCTTACAAGGATCAGTTCTTACAAATACCCGTGAGAGGGGCTGGAGCAATAGCACAGTGGGTAGGGCGTTTGCCTTGCACGCGGCTGATCTGGGTTCGAGTCCCAGCATCCCATGTGGTTCCCCCGAGCACCGCCAGGAGTAATTCCTGAGTACAGAACCAGGAGTAACCCCTGTGCACCGCCGGTGTGACCCCCCCAAAAAAAAACAAAAACAAAAATATCCCTGAGAAGATGACTTTGAGCCACTCAGATAGTGCACTCAGTTCAAGAAGGAACGTGAGTGGTGATAAACATTATTCGTCTGATCAGGAGTCGAACATGCTTAGGGCAGAATTCCACGCACGGAACACGAAAGTGGGGTTACATGACTCTACTGCAAACTGGCTTTTCCATTACCCACAGCTCCACCAGGAATATGAACATGCTGAAGTGTCAGGCCAGAGTGAAGAATGGGTGCCAGGAAAATCTCTCCCGGGCCTTTTACAAGGTGCTTTCCAAACTGCATCACGGTCCTGTACATTTAACCTCTGGCTAGGTTTGGCCGATCAATGATCCAACAGATCAATGATCCAACGGAACCATTTCCCTTTTCCTGGTGGACTTTGGAACTGGCCTAGCATGTGTCCCTGCAGGCGTCCCAAGAAGCCTGCTCATGTCTTAGCCTCAGTGTCCTGATCTGCAAAGCGGGAACCATTCACGGCCTCAAGATTAAACAAGATGTAGCCAGTGAGAGAGGAATTCAATGACACTCACCCCCAGACAACGGGGCATTCCCTCCACATCCCTGTCCTCACTCCCGCCCTCATGGGCATGCTCTTTTAAGAACTAATGCAAGACAAAAAGCGTGGGTAAAGAAGGCAGTAGGAAGACCCACGGAACAAGCTAGGCAGTCGCACTGACCAAATTAGGATCACTGAGTCACCTCACCTTCTGGTGGTTTCCACACAAAAATCTTCTCTAGGGCTGGAACGATAGTGCAAAAAGTAGGGTGCTAGCCTTGCACCTGGGCGACCCAGGTTAGATCCCTGGCACCGCAGACAGTGCCCCGGGGCCCCATCAGAAGTGATTCTTGGGCTCAGAGCAGAACTCCTGAGCAACACTGATTACGGCCCAAAAGCCAGGGGAAAAATAAACACCTCCCCTAAGTCTTGTCAAATACCCCTTTAGAAGCCGAGGCAAAAGTCCAGCAGATAGAATGCTTGCCTTGCATGTGGCCAACCCGGGTTCAGGTCCCCCAGGCCCCTCCAGAAGTGATTCCTGAGCAAAGAGCCAGCAGTTACTCCTGAGCATTGCCTTGCAAGGGAGGACCACCAGAATCAATCAACACCCCAAACTGTAACCAACCAAACAACCCCCTTCTCTAAGTCTTTACAAAATGGCTCTAGAGGTCAAGGTGATATAGTCCAGTAGGGAGGCACTTGCCTTGCATGTGGCCAGGCTGGGTTCCATCCCTGGCACCTTATATGGTCCCCTAAGTCCAGCCAGGAGCAAGCCCTGAGCACCACCAGGTGTGGCCCCTGCAAAAAAGTCTCTAATAAATGTTAATTTTCTGATGAAAAAAAAAAACGAAAGCAGAGAGGTGTATTTATAGCAAATTTGCACCCCAGTTTCTAGGGGTCCTGAGTCCACGTTCTTAACCTGAGTCATCTGAGGCCGTGGTCCCCATCCTTCACTCTTGCCTACGTACTGTACTCATACCACACGTCTTCATAGCCTTAACTGCATCTTCTAAGCACCACGGGCCATCCTACGACCACACCAGTTGCTGATTCAGCTGCTGCGGATAGCCCAGGGGCTTCGTGCCACGGTTTATGAGGTCAGGCCTAGCTGCATGGGCCGAGCTCACCTGTCTCTCATGACTCAGGCCAGAGAGGGCCTCGGGTCAAATCCAATCGCGGCCTGACTTTGGAAATAAAGTCTCACTGGAATGCAGCCACGTTCATTCATGTATGGGACTGTCTGAGGGCGGAGGCGACCCCACAGGAAACCATGTGGAACCCAAACTCCATCACTGATTAAACTACACACACACACACATACACACCCACGCACACACACAAACACACACACATACACACACCCCTTTGTTATCTGAATTTTTAACTTTTGCCAATGTCATCTGTTTTTACTACTGCCTCAAACTCCCTGGCACTGGAACGGCTGAACATTATTTTCAGAGTTTAATAACCACTCAGCCGCCAGGAAGGTGGCAGGCGGTTCAATCGACAGACACGTTGCTAAGGAATCCACGATGGTCTGGACAGGCAGAAACTGAAGTGTTTTCGCTCTGAAGAGTGCAGAAGAGGGCTTATGGCATGACAACAAAACAAAAGCAGCCTTTACCAGGGTAATTGGGGCGATGCCCACGGGGCCCTGGCGGGTGGGCCACAGAAGACCCGTATGCCCTGCCCTCTTGGGAGGACAAACCCCCAGACATAGACAGGCACATGGGCAACTGTGCCCGTACAAGGGCCAGAAACACCTCCCAAGATTGATCCTGGGTTATCTGCAACCACGGGCACTTTTTCTTTTCCTTCTGTGTCCAGCGTTTTACAAGTTTGGTCAATGAGAACCTTTTCCTTATCCAACGGAAAACAACGATGTTGTTTGTGAAGACCGGGATTAGCGCGCAGATAATGGGGACCTGATCCCTATGGACTGTCTTCCTGTGTGTGTCCCCCAGGGACAAGAGCCAGTACAGAGATGACACCGCAGTTCCTGGGCCAGTCTCGGCCTGCCCGTATCACCTCCCTGGCTCCCGGCACGCGGCCGGAGCCGTTCTCGTGGGGCGCCCTCCAGCTGAGCCTCTGTGAAGCTCCGTGTGGTCCGGCACAAGGAAATGGGCAATGCCACCGGGCACGCGACCCTTCCTGGCACCAGAAGCTACCCTGGGCCTGGGAGAAGTGCACGCTCGATCTCTGTCGGGTAAAAGCAAGGCCCAGCCAGGCTGCCAGGGTCACTGGGCACATGGAGACCGTGATGACACTTCCTGTCTCAAAGTCCTACCTGGCACCGTTCCTACCCGCTTCGGGCGAGGGCTGACACCGCTCGTCAGCTGCCCACACAGCAACCCATCCCCGTCACCTCCCCTGCCAGAGACGCGGGCAGATGATGCTCCCGAAATGCAGGACACGAAATGCGGGACCTTTTCTGCACCCCAAACGTTGCTCTGACGCAACTCAGGAATGCCAGGGTGCAATCCCTCTGTCTGAACCCCTAAGGACAGGAGATGGGGGGCAGAGACCCCAGGGGCTCAGGACCTCCCATCCTGAGTCGGTCTTTAGCTTGCCAGCAATGTGCCCGAACATCGGGTTCTAGCCAACAGGCGGAGACCAGAACCCCAAACCACAGCCCCTCAACACTGCCGGCCAAATGAGCAGCCCACAGCACCCCTTACCCCTGAAGAAGAAACAGACGTGTATTTGTGGGGTGGGGGGCAAGGAGACACTGTAACTGGTTCTATCTATTCCACGCAAAGCGACGGTGGCCATGAGGGGCTGCAGAGACCACCCCAGCCCAGTCTCAATGCAGGAGGCCAAAGGGCCCAGAGCGGAACCCCTGATAACACGGCCTGTCCCTGGGACCTGGGCGCGCCGTCCCACTCCCAAAAGCTCCGGCCCACCCAACGCCCAGCGCCGTGTGGGGAAGAGATAAGGTGGGGAACACTGCCAACCCCTCGGAGTTCTGGGGACACAAGTGATAGGCACCTTGCGCACGCTTTCCTGTCCTGTTCCCCTCCCCAAACCCGGCCAAAGTGAGGTTTCATTATCCTCCGATTTAACCAAACCAGGGAAACCGTCCAAGGCCGTCCAGCTGGTTGGGCACAGGGACTCGCCACCTGAAATCTGGACTGGCTGATGGCCTGTCACCCACATACCAAGACCTGGGCTGCTCTCTGCGGAACCGCCTGTAGAATGATCTAGAACCCTGGGCCTCACACTACTCTTAGAAGCCCCGCACTCACTGCAAAGGAGACGGGGACCCCGTGACTGAGATCAGGGTACTTCAGGCCAACGCCAAAGGGTCTGGAGACTGGTGCCCACTTCTCCGCCAACACCAGCCGAGGAGCAAACCCAGGCAGGCCGCCTGCCTCTTCTTCCCCCAGCACTGATGACGAGAGGGGATTGCACAAGCTTCAGGCCTGGTGCTCAGCAGCTGACCGGGCCTTCCCTCATCTCAGAAGTCACCCCAACCCTGATGGCCCAGATCTGACCCCCCTGCGCCCCAGGCATGCCTTAATGAGGGCCCTTGAGTCTCCTAGCGCCCCGGCCCTGAGAATCTGAAACCCACTACCCCAGCCTCGTCCTCGCACAGCGCCGGACCCCAACTGCCAGGGGTCGGATCTTGGTATGGGCCCACTCCCCGCAGGGGCAAGTGTCCCCCGGACCCCGCGCGCTCGAGGCCCGCGCCTGACCTTACTAACCAGGGGCAAGGGCGACTCGGCCCTCCCATCACTGTAGGCCGGCAGGCAATCCCGAAAGAGCTGCCCTCCGCCGGGTACCGACCCGGAGATGGGCTCTTTCTGCCCGACTACCCTCCCCCGGGTGGGGGTCAAGCGGCGCGCGGAGTGAGCGCGCCCCCAAAACGCCTTGCAGGTCGGGGTGCGGGTGGGGGTCCTTCCAGGGCTCGCCCCACTGCCCGAGTGGACAAGGGGAGCGGAGCCCCGGTGCCGCTAGGCCCAAGGCCAGTCGCTCACGTGCCCCGCCCCGGTTGCGCCCTGGCAGATCGGCATCCCCACCCCACCCCGCCCCCGTGCCCAGCCTGCTGGACCCCCGGCCCGGCCCGCAGAGCCCGAGCCTGACCTTGCCGGAGCTGAGGGTCGTCCAGCACGTTGTAGGCCGCGTAGTCGCTGACGCCGTGCAGCCGCAGGATCTGCACCACGGCGTTGCTGAAGCCGCACTGGGGCTGCTCCGGGGTCCCCTTGAGGAAGACCACCACCTTGTCCCTCTTCACCAGCGCGTCCAGCTGCTCCGCCAAGCCGCCCGAGCCCGAGCTCGAGTCTGAGCCCGCGGTCCGCACGCCTGGGCCCCACCGGCCGCGGCTACCCGCGCTGCGCCCCCAGCGGAGCAAAGCCGCCGCCGCGCGGCCCAGGGACCCGCTCATCCCCGCAGCCGCCTCGCCGGAGCCCTGCACGGCCCGGAGTGCGGCCTGCAACCCGGAGCCCTTCCCTCGGCGGCGGCCCGCCTCCCGAAGGCTCTCATTGGGCCCGACTCCAAAGTGCGCTCTCGTGATTGGAGCACGCCGGGCCTCAAGGACCAGGTTCTACCAATCAGATTGCTCGTCCCACCCCTCCAGAGGTTGGAGGCGGGCATGACTCCGGAGCCTGCCGGCCCGCCCACCGCCTCTCTGTCAGCTGATTGGAGAGAAGGGTGGTCCATCAGAATCACGCCCCTAGGCAACCCGAGGCCAAAGTAGACGGGAAGACGACGTCCCCGCGAAGGCGAGAAGTATCCGGCCGGGACCTTCCGGGAGGCCTGGGGGGAGAGGTTGTGGGCGGGGCTTCAGCCTGCCGCGGAACGACGGGACGGGGTCGCGTCCGGACGCAGCTTCCGCTTCCGGGGCGGAAAGTGGTTGGGTTGTCAGGGCTACGGAGCGGAGCCGCTGTGCCCTTCCGGGCCTCGGGAGGGTCGCGGGCGCGTTCCGGGGCCTCGCGGCCGGAAGAGAGGGCCGGGCGGAGCGCGGGGCCCGGGGGACGCCCTGCCGAGGTGGCGGATCGCTGACGCCGGCGCGGCGGGGCTGCGGCCTCGCCGACGCATCCGCGCGCTCGATGAATGGGGACCGGAGACGGACGCGGGTCGGCCGGGCCGGCGGTTCCGCCCGGTGCAGCGCGGGATGGAGCAGGCGCGAGTCGCAGGCGGCCCGGCGTGCTCGGCGGCCGAGTGCTCGGTGAGTGCCCCGCGGGGCCCGGGGCCCGACTCTGCAGCCTGGCCGCCGCGCGGGGTTGCCGGTACCCCGCAGCACGCCCGGCTCGCAGAGAGAGCGTCTCCCGGAGGAAGCTGAGGCATGACGGCCCGAGTGCCGGCCGTGCATGTGCAATTTTCCTCCCACAGCTCGTGGGCGCTGTTGCCACGGCGATAGCGACTGGGCGGTGTCGCTATCTATCTGCAACAGTCAGAGCAGCCCGCGGTCGTGATATTGTGCGCAGAAGGAGTGGTTTCTGCTGGGCACTGAGGACTGCTACAGACTATTAACTAGTTTGGTTTTTTTGGGGTTTTTTTTTTTTTGATCCTTGCATGTCTTTGCAATCCGTGGCCGGGGTGTTGACGCTTTGGGGGGGGATGCTTAAAGGTATTGTCAGAAAGCGTGTCACGTGGGGCTGGAGGGATAGCACAGCGGGGAGGGCGTTTGCCTTGCACACGGCCTACCCGGGTTCGATTTCCAGCATCCCCGATGGTCCCCTGAGCACCGCCAGGGGTAATTCCTGAGCGCAGAGCCAGGAGTAACCCCTGTGCATCGCAGGGTGTGACCTAAAAAGCAAAAAAAAAAAAAAGAAAGAAAGCGTGTCACGTGTCCCAAGAGGGGACTCTTGGAGATGAGCACGCGGCGCAAAGCTGAGAATGCGCTCCAGTGCTCTTTCTCAGCGTATTTAATTTATGCCGTGGTTAGCTACGTGTTTGGCGGTTTTCTTGTGTGAGATCCAAAATGATCAGCTTTGTAAAGAATGCTTTTTTTTTTTTAAACAGATTCATTGATTCGACCTAAGCTGGCATCCGGTGAACTCAACTGGACTGTTATATCCAAAATCTCTTTACCTTCACTCCTGATTCTATCGTGGGAAACTTTTTAAAAAATAAAGACTGACGGGGTGGAGGGGGAGGGGCAGGGCGCCAGTCCAGGGCGTTTGCCTTGCACGCAGCCAACTGGGAGTTCCATTTATGACATCCTATGGGGTTCCCTGAGTAACACCAGGACTAATTCCCTGAGTGCAGAGCCAGGAGTAATTCCTGGGCAAAGAAGAAAGGGGGGGAGTAAAGACTGATGGTTTGCTCTTGGAAGTAACATACTGTATGCTGTCAAATCGTGTTGATTGGAAGTGGGGGAGGAAGTGAAGAGCATTTTAGGCTTCTGTGGAAGAAGAGTACAGTGGGCAGTGACTAACCTCATATAATGTGTAAACTGGCTTCAAAACTTCAGTGAAGCGCTTAACTGAGCTGATAGTACAGCTGCCAGTCAACATTAAGAGGAGTCCTTGAGCCCAAGATTGCAGAGGTGACGGTCGTTGGCTTGCACACAGCTGACCCAGGTTTGCTCCCTGGTGCTACATCTGATCAGCCCCGAGCCAAGCCAGGAGTGATCATTGAGTGCAGGGCCAGTGGTGAGCTCCGAAAGCCAATCGGTGTTGCCCCCAAAATAAATTAATCTTTGACTAGGAGGCCTGTGTTGATTACAGTGATAGACTTTTGGGTGTGGGAGAGTGTGGGCAAAACTCAGAGATGAAGGCTTGGAGAAACATCTCTTCTTTCAGGCCTAAGTGGGTGGCTTCCATCACAAGATCAGCAAACCCCACATCGAAACCAAAGAAATGGAGGTAGTGCCTTTCAGTTAAGTTTTTAAAAGGAACCCAAAATGTGAACTGTGGGGCTGGAGCCATAGCACAGCAGGTAGGGCATTTGCCTTGCACGCAGCCGACCTAGGTTCGATTCCCAGCATCCTATATGGTCCCCTGAGCACCATCAGGAGTAATTCCTGAGTGCATGAGCCAGGAGTAACTCCTGTGCATCGCTGGGTGTGACCCAAAAAAAAAAATGTGAACTACTTGGGCTGAACATAATCACTGCTTTGAATTACACTGTTCTCGGAGAATTGGAACCAAGCATCAATCACAGAATGAAACAGGGCCGAGCACAGGCTGCACATTTAAAAAGTGTGGACCAGAGAGATAGTACGCAGTAGGATGCTTGACTTGCATGTGCTTACCTGGGTTCAGTCCCCACTACTACTTATGGTTCTCTGAGCAACACCGGGTGTAGCCCAAAAAACAAGAAAATAAATAAGCAAAGTTGTTTGTTTGTTTGTTTTTCCACTTTATTTCAAAACCGAGGTTAACAGAGTTGTTCACGATTACTTGTTCGGGCATTCAATATTCCAACCCCAATCCCACCACCACTGTGACCTTCCATCCACCATTGTCCCAAGCAAAGCTGTTTTCACAATACTTCTAGAACATAGACCGGCACATGACCTCCCATGCTGAAGAGGTTGCTTTTTGCTTTTACTTTCTTTTACTTTTTTCCTTTTACTTTCTGATGATAGTACAGCAATAGGGCGTTTGCCTTGCACGCAGCCAACATGGCCGACCCGAGTTCAATTCCTCCACCCCTCTCGGAGAGCCCGGCAAGCTACCGAGAGTATCTCGCCCGCACGGCAGAGCCTGGCAAGCTCCCCGTGATGTATTTGATATGCCAAACACAGTAACAACAAAGTCTCCAATGGAGATGTTACTGGGCCCGCTCGAGCGAGCAAATCGATGAACAATGGGAGGACAGTGACAGTGACTTTCTGATGAACCTTTTAATTCTTTTAAAATAAGAATTTTTTTAAATTTTTTTTCTAAAACCTCAAGCCCATATGTGATTGGGCATATTCATTTTGAGGCTTCTCTTAAAATCATAAGAACATGAAAAATGACTTATGCAGGGGTGGAGTGAGTGCAGTGAGCATGGCATTTGCTTTGTGCAGGCCCAGTTGACCTCAGTAAGATTTCCCAACACCCCCTGACCCCTGCCAGGAGTGATCATGAGTGCAGAGCCAGGAGTAACCCCTGAGCATCACCAATGTGGCTCCCGAGCCAAAAATGGGCAGTCCATGTACACGGATGTACTTGAGTGTTGGAACACAAATAATTGTTAGTGGGCAAGTAGACGAAATAGGGATGAGGAGGGAAACAGACACCGCAGAATCCTGGGATTTGGGAACATCATATAATTAGACCCCAAACTAATCTGTTGTAAACATGCTAACGTGGCCATCCTAGCTCTGTTTTTCTTCTCCTTGCTTATTTATAGTTGAGACGTCTATATTTGGCAAACTGTCTCCTCCCAGACATTGGCTGCTCAGTCCAGAGTTGACAGCCACCCGGTCCTACAAATATTTCTCCCTACCTGGCAGCACACCATGAAGAATCAGGCTTCTTGATCCCCCGACTTTCTGCGAGCACTCCTGGTACCCCAGCCTCAGCTGTGAAGGCAGTCCTGCATTCTGTGGGGATGTGACAACAGCATCCACGGTGCAGAAATGTCTAGATCTGAATTCCCCAGAACACAGGGCCATTTTCAAGGAAAGGGGCCTCTTGGTTCTGCACAAAGGGGTGGAGACTGCCTTACAAAGGGCTGTTATCCTTTGGTTCCAGAGTGTCTGCAACGCTGGAATTAATCGGGCTCTAGGACACCCGAAAAACAGTATAACATGCAAGGAACAGTGGCAGTCCCCAGCTTTTCTAGAGTGGCCTGCAAACTTTCCATTCACCATTCCTTTATGCTGAGAAATTTGAACACAATTTTTTTTTGGGGGGGGGGGGTCACACTCAGCGATGCACAGGGGTTACTCCTGGCTCAGCACTCGGGAATTACTCCTGATAGTGCTCAGGGAACCATATGGGATGCTGGGAATTGAGGCAAACGCCCTACCCGCTGCACTATCGCTCCAGCCCCTGAACATGATTCTGCATTCATAGCAATCAAGACACTTACTGCTAAGATCATGAGTTTATTCTAAGACATTTTCAAGCAATCTTGTGGCCCCCTCCTTTGCCATGTGGCCCCATAAGCGGCTGGAACCCAAGATAGAAGCAGGTATGCCCCTGAGCCAATATTGTCCTTCTCTGAAGGCAAAGGGAGAAGTACTTCTGCATTCTCGCTGTCTGCCTGCTCAGGCAGCTGCTATCTGAATGCTTGGACTGAGAGAGGGGTGGGTTTCACCAAGATTGGGTTGGAGCAATAATAGCAGAAGGACGTTTGCCTTGCACACAGCCGGCCCAGAAGAGCTGGGTTCGGTTCCTCTGCCCCTCTCGGGAGAGCCCAGCAAGTTACCAAGAGTATCTCGCCCACGCGGCAAAGCCTGGCAAGCTACCCGTGACGTATTCAATATGCCAAACACAGTAACAACAAGTCTCACGAAAGACATTACTGGGCCTGCTTGAGCAAATCCATGAACAACGGGAGTACCATGCTACCGTGCTACCA